GACATGATTCGTTGTCATCCATCTTTAACGGTTTTAATTAATGAATATTATTTTTTTCTTTTCGAACGTCCAATAGCTGCGTACTAGTCAACCTAGTGATATATGAATATTCATAAACCCAATACGAAACGAGTGCTCTGATTGGCCATTCGCTTTGTTTTGGTAGGTACGACCCGGAAAAATATCGGCCGAGTGATGTCATAGATTACTAATTTGAATGGATGAACGGTACGTTTCACGGTTCGGAGAAAAAAATTGGATAAATCATATAAGTAAGTCCAAAAATTTCGCATTTGTATGATAGGTCAATTATTATTATTTAGTGTAAATAGGAGTACAATATAGATCTATAGACCCTAGACCTACTTAATTTATATCTGATTTATAAATCAGAAAATCTAAATCTAAATAGTGAAAATCATATCACCATAATTAAGTGGCAGCTGGATTGGCCAGATTACCCCCACGGTACGAGATCTCTGGGTTACCGTCTGTATATGGGGAATGTCAACAAATGTCAGTTTTATTAAAGAAATGACCCATATCAGACGGTTATTTCTGTCTACGACTCTCTACGCTTTGCTGGAGTGGCTTGCTCCTAATCATGAACAGTCAACATCTTTTTTAATTATCATTAATAGCCGAGGATGTAGTCATTTAAGTATAGTCTCTGCTTTCCAGTTTCATACGCCCAAAATAGATCTAGACCTATACAAAGGCTATAGGGGGCCTACATAAATTATCATGAGCTAAAAAGTAATACTTACTAAGGAACAGGCCTAGCCTAACAAAAAGTTGAACGTATGGGGCTTATCTAAACTTAACTTAAAGAGAGTATCGTCATTGCACGAAGATCATTTCATTCGCTCTGTGATATTTAGACCAATCGAGACAATCACTGTTAATATCATAATTTTAATACATACTATTACAACAAAATTCATAGTAAATTACAATAGACATCATCATAATCTCATCTTCCAAGCACTAGTATTCAATAACTCACCGCAAGCACAGCAGACACAATTTGCTGGGCCTGCAATTATGCGCATGCTCATATCCCAAAACAAAATAGAGCTTGTAATAGGCCATTTTCGTAATGTAACCAAATTTAATGCATAAGTCTTTGTAAAGTGCCTCAATACAAATTATTTTATTCACCTGATAAGAATAATAATATTTCGATAGAAATAATCCGAACTGCATACATTAGTTGTTGCCAGGTTGGACAAACATTATGGTATGAAATACATTACGAAACTGGCCTATTGACTTTTGACACCCTCTGACAATGTAAAAGGTTACGTAATAATTCAAGATTTTTTTCTTCAAATTGGAATAAATCAAAGAAAAGCCCATGAAAGATGGACACATGCATGATCATTTCCAGGCGCGTACACAGGGGGGGGGGGGGGGGGGTTAACCCCCCCCTTTGGTAATTTTTTATGTGTAAACCCCCCCTAAATATCTCTAAACCCCCCCCCCCCCATTTTCAAATTTCGAGACCAAAAAAAAAAAAAATGTGTCCTCTTACCCCCCCACTGAGCGACTTTTCGGCTGGCTGAGTCGTTGCGATTTTTTGGGGACCCCCCCCCCCCCAAAAAAAGGTGACCTCTTACCCCCCCCCCCCCCCCCCCCCCCCCCCACTGAGCGACTTTTCGGCTGGCTGAGTCGTTGCGATTTTTTTGGGCTCCCAAAAAAAAAAAAAAAAAGTGTCCGCTTACCCCCCCCCCCCCCCCCCCCCCCCCCCCCCCCACTGAGCGACTTTTTGGCCGGCGCGATTTTGTAATTTTCCTGAGTCGTTGCGAAATTTTGGACTCGATTTTAAACCCCCCCCCCCCTTGAAAAAACATTTCCATGTGTTGGTGCACTCCGCATTCAGTGCGCTTATTACTTTTGTTGTTATTGAATAATATTCAAAATACCCAGTGCATATTTTCTAGTTTGGTGTCTTCTGTATTAAATAATGCCATTATATTAAAAGTGTCTTATAAACGGCCTCCCGGCTAGCTGTTGGGAGAATTTTCGGCAAGGGGGTGGGATCGGACTACATATTTTCCAATCAACATTGCCGTTAAATACACTTCGAGCAAATTAAGCAAACACGAATAGTAGCTATATTATATAGGCCTAATTTTGTTATTATAAATTGAAAAATTTGGGGTCGTTTGCAGTTGGTTACATCTATTTACATAAAAGGTTGTTGATAAACAAGATAAACGGTGAAGAAGAAACAAAAATTGGTCATAAATCCCCGAGTTAACATCCAGGTTATTTGAAGAAAACTGATTTGCGTTCATCCCGCACTCCCCCCCCAAAAAAAAAAACCCCCACCATAAACACAACTGTAATGAAATCGATGACATGTCCACCATTTAGATTAATGATTATACTTACAATGTTGCATGCAGTAATCATGCAATGCGTTGCCGAAAACGAAAATCCCATTACGTTTACATTGAGCGGCTTTTAATGTCATCGCCAAACATCGACGGGGTCGGAGATTAATGAAAGCTTCCATTCTGTTTAGAGAATAAATCAAACATTATAATTCGTATGTCATCATCATTTATAAAGTCGCTCTGAGAGAAACATAATTAGCAAGAGATCAATGTAGGCCTTTACCAGTGACATAATTATATTGTAAACATATCAAAATGAACAACAAAACGTTTTTTCTTTAAAAGTTGAGCTGAATATATATAACGTATAATTTAGTAATTGACTAAAATAAATAATCTATCTAATTAATTTTTACTTATACACGGTACACTGCAAATTTGTTATGTAACGACTTTACACAACATTGGGTGGTAACCCAGGGGTTGTCTTAAGTTGTGTATAAAAAAATACACAACTTTACACTGCAAATTCGTTATGTAAAGTAGTGTATTTTTTTTTACACAACTTAACACTGAACCACGCAATAAAGTGGTTACACAACGAATTTGTAGTGTGGTCTTCCATGATGCCTCGTTTGGTAACAGCAAAATGCAATGACAATCATGAATATAAATCCATAATATCATAACAAAATAAAACACAGAATAAATAATAATGCATGAATACAATTTGTTGGTATCCTTGTAATAAATGTGGACTTTTTAAACAAAAAATACTGTTGCATATATTTGTAATATCGTATTACATGTATATATGGTAATCTGTTCTTAAATCAAGTGAAATATAATCTTAACTTTTTATACATTTTTTGAATAGCCTCATAAAGTTGTTTCTGAAGCTCATAATTTTGTATAAGCAAAGTAAAAAGACAATCTTGGCTCAACATATAGACTCACATGCACTTGAGATACCAAAAGTTCTATAATATAAAACTTTGGGTATCTCAAGTGTGGATATGCAAATATTACAAGATTGAATTCCTTGTTAGGTAATAAATTTCCGTTGATTTGAATTAAAATAGCATTTGAATATACAAGCTAAATACTAATGAACATATCAATATATTTTAAACTGATAACGAATGATGTCATTAATTTAATTTGAAAAGCTTCATGTTATCCTACATTATGATAACTATGAAGCAAATTCCATCAGGATGAATATGAAAACTGCATGTGCAGTTGGATTGTAAACGCATCACGAAACAATGGTGTGATCAGGCGCGTACGCAGGATTTTTTCAAGGGGGGGGGGGGGGGTTTAACATTTATAAATCGGGCCGAAAATTTCGCAACGACTCAGCCAGCCGCTGAATAAGCGGGGGGGGGGGGGGGGGGGGGGGGGGGTAAGAGGACACTTTTTTTTGGGGGGGGGGGGGGCCTCGAAATTTGAAAATTTGACATTTGGCTCCGTTGGGGGGGGGGGGGGTAAGGTCACCTTTTTAGGTCTGCCATGGGAATAATTTTTTTTTATAATTAAAAAAAAAAATCAAAGGGGGGGGGGGGTTAGGGGGAGTGATGGGGGGGGGGGGGTTTACACACATAAAAATACCAAGGGGGGGGGGTTAACCCCCCCCCCCCTGTGTACGCGCCTGGGTGTGATTAACACAAGATAAATGCTTTGAAATATAATGAGAAATAAAAGTAAGAGTTCAAGGAATAGAATCCTCTCGGCATTCAATTTCCCCCGGTCCCCAACAGAAAAAATCTTCTGTGTGCCCATGTCTTGAGCCATAATGCATGCATGGTCGTACAGAGAATTTTGTTATGTTGGGGACCGGGGTAAAATTCAATGAATTATTGAAAATTGATTGCATTTTTCTTTGAGGTTTTTTATTTGTGGGAACTGCCCCCTACCCTAGCCCCCGCTGCGTACAGTCGTGGTTCAGTGGCAAAGCAATGGCATTGTAACTGTGAGGCCCCAGGATCAAATCCGTGTCGATGTGCCATATTAGTGCCCTTTTGTGGGGCATTAATCCTCATTACTGTCATTTATGACTTAAGGGCGTAGGTCCCCTAGTTGATAAGCATAGTAGCATACACATGCTTTAGCATTCACGCAAAATAAACACAAATTATTAGTCAATAAAATCTGAGAATGTGTATCTAGATCTATTAGGAATGATTCATTGTCAAAATAATTCCATAAATTGAGGTAAAAAAAAATATTCCAACTAGATGAGCGACAGTGTAGTATTCCCATTACAAAACATATGTAGAGCTGCACTCCTATCATCGGTTTTCTTCCTTTAAAAATATGATACCTGATCTGCTCAAGAAAGTCAGCAGAGTCTCACATTTTGGCGGGACCTTCAACAGAACGGGATAATTGTTTTCATGTTTAAAGGGCATTTCAATGCTTGCAAAATCTATAATTATGCGTGTTTAGTAAAAACAATAAGAAAATCAGTGTTCTGATTAAAACAAAAGGATGGGACAAACAATAAGAAAATGTCTCTCGAAAACGCTTTTGAGAACAATTGGGGGTATAATTATGTCACCTTTCCAAACTTAATGATGCTCTTGGTCTATTCAAATGTTTATAAACATTTCCAATCCTTTGATTAAAACTTTCACTACTGTACTTTAAAAAAAGATAGATAAAAACTGTTCTAAAACTTACGCGGCATCGTCGGCGAAGTTTCTCCGATGTTGGTGGCATATTCTTGTTGGGTGCCTTGTCTTCCTTTTGCATCGGTGCCCCTTCTGTGTGTTGCACAGACATCTTAATGCAGCTGGCATCACTCGTGGCATGATGATCTGGAGAAGGGGATGAAGAAACATTAACAACACATTATTAATACATAAATAAAGTATAGACCTCAAATAAGGTTGATGATTATGTTCGATGTGGTCTCTCATTCTATTATTCTAAAGAAACTAATTTGTTCATGTTGGTTTTGATGATTCAAGTTTACGCTTTTTTCATGTGTATCTAACTCCGTCTGAGGATATCATATTTTTCAGTCAACGGTAATAGTTTGTTAGATTACAGTCACTTGCAGGAGAAGTACAATGGGTCCCTTGCTATTTACTATTTATCATTTTGTATAAATGATATCTCAAATGCTATACAGTTTAGTACCATTCCACTGTAATACTGATTTTAATACAATTGAGTATGTTTACGTCTCTATGGAGATTTAAAACGGATTTCTAAGCGGATGACGCGCAATGAATTCTTGTCGAATCCTAAGAAATGTGAATTAATTTTCGCTGCAAGGCTTTATAATATAAAGCCTTCACTTTTCCAACCTCATCTTGATTACGGTTCTGTTGTGTGGTTAATGCATGAGCAAATTTAGTTCATGTGATGTGTGTTCCACAAAATCGAGCACTTTGCAATTTATTACGAGTTGAACGTAGGTATATTACTGTTTTATTTATTTTTTATGTTGCATGGATGCCTCCCATTACTAATTTGTTCTAAATTTTCTACTAAGACAAGTAAATATTCTCTTCGCAATTATGACTGTAAACATTTATCTTGAATAAAAAATAATGTGACCTTTTTAAGTATAAGAGTAGTTTTAGACATTTCAATCCATTACATTGTGATATTAACCGATGAATAGACAACCTTGTTCACGTCTTTGTTAACTTAATCAGCTCTATCTATTTTTTGTTCACTGGGGGGGGGGGGGGGGGCTGGGTTCAAATGGTAAGTCTCATAGTTTTCTCGATAATTTTCATTTGTTTTGTCAATTATATGTCATTAGTTGTTTGTTTAATAATGCACATGGGCTCCCTGAAAAGTGGTCTATTTTGCCGGGCTGATTGTGAGCCTGATTTTACAGTGTTTATATACATACATGACAAAATAATAGTTAACCGATTCTTTAAAGATATTACTCCTTGCTTCGACTGTGGGAGAATACAATGTTACTCACGAACTATAATTTTTGTTATTTTCAACTGATTTCACAGATTTTCAAATTCATAGCCTCACTCAGAATTTAAAAGGAATACTGGAATACAACAAAACAGTTGTCAGAGGGCCTTATGCTAGGAGTCCACTGGGCCGGCGCCAGTTGGCGCCAGTTTGCGAAAGTTTGCGCCAATGCAATTTACTGTGGCGCCTAGTGTCGCCAATAAGGTGCCTAGTGGCGTGTAGTGGCTCAAACTGCCTCCCAACTGGCTCGTGGTGGCCCGTAACGGCACCAAATTGGAATGTGGCGGCAAGAAAATTTCAAAATGTTTGAAATTTTCGTCGCGCCACTTGCATCGAGCAATCAGCGCCAAGTGTCCGCCAAGTGGCACCAAATGGCGCGAACATATCGCCCTTTGGCGCAAACAATCCGCCTATTGGAATCCACTGGAATGTAATGGCGCGCGCCAAGTTGCGCCAATGAGATTTCGCGCCACATGGCGCCACTTGGCGCCGAGGGGCACCTTGTTTGCGCCACTACGCGAGCCAAACGGCACCCGATTGGTGACTACTTCGCGCCAAATGCCACCTGATTGCCCGCCATTCGGCGCCACTTGCCGCCTATAACAGCAGGGCGGCATCGCAGGACTTTCTCACAGTGATGGCGGCAGTTCTCCAAGCTCTAGGGATGAGGTTGTGCTGGGCATCCTCCTGGTCCAACATGCGGACGTCCAGTGCCTGATAGTGCTTCCTGATGAGGTTGTGCTGCATGACGGCAGCTTCAATGAGCAGGCGGACTGTGTCTGGTTCCTGTCTCATCTGGCCAAGGAAGCACTGGAACCGCAGAGCCAGAATACCAAAGGCATTTTCAACCACACGCCTTGCCCTGGACAGCCTGTAGTTGAAGATCTTCTGCTGTTTGTCCATGTTACAAAGGCCATAGTGCTTCATCATGTACGTCCTCATGGCGAAGGCATCGTCTCCCACGAAGAAGTACGGCATAGGGTGCTCTTTATCATCTTGGGGAAGAGGAGCTGGATCTGGGATGCCTAAAGTGCCAGCTTCAATGCACTCCTTCAGTTCACTGTTGTTGTAGATCTGGGCATCAGACTGATGGCCAACCCCACCTACATCGATCCACAGGAACTGGTACTTTGAATCTACCAGAGCCATCAGGACGACCGAGAAGAACTGCTTGTAGTTGAAGTAAAGGCTGCCTGATTTTTGGGCTTCTAGAGACGGATGTGCTTTCCATCATAGGCTCCCAGACAGTGAGGAAGATTCCATCTGGCTTCAAAATCACCTGCAACCTCAAGGCAGCCTTCATTGGTTGTGGGGAGGGAGATGACTTCTGCAGCATACTCATCCACTACCGCTCTGGCTACATCAGGGACAAACTTCTGGATGGTTTTCTTGCCCACTCGGAAGTTGTAAGACAGCTCGGCATAGGTGGCCCCAGTGGCGAGATGGCGCAGGAAGACGGACAACTTGAGACCAGGGGAATGGCCTTCCTGATGTGGGTGTCCTTCTTCTGCAAGTGGGTTGTAAGCCTGACCAACAGGTCATCAAACATCTCTGGGGACACCCTGGTGTAGTTCTTGAACTTCCTCCTGTCATTCTCACTCAGCTCTTCCATCAAAGTGTGATACTGTCCACGTTCGGCCCTCAACTGTGGGTGGAGCATGGGTCTAAACCACCAGTTGTGCTTCCTTTTCTTCTTAGGAGGCTCTTCTTCTTTAGGATTGGCCAGCATAAGTTGATAGGCAGTGGCCACCTCAGCATCTCTCATCATCTTCTGATGGAGCAGCATCATCACTCCAACATTATCAAAAGCCTCAGACATATCAAAATTGTAAATATTTAGTAGAGATGTTGTTCATACAGCAGCTGAGGAGGGTCTGAACCAGGTAGCCAATGGCCGGTATTTATTTAGTCGGCAAGTAGCGCCAAGCGGCGGCAATTTCAAGCCAATTTGGCGACCTTTGGCACAAACTAATCACAATTGGCGCAAAGTAGCCGTCTATTGGCGCGAATGGCGCCAACAGGGTGAATTTTGGAATCAAATGGCCGTGTAATGGCGCAAACTGGCGCGAACTGGCGCAACATTTTGGAGCAAGCCGGGTGGCATTTGGCGCACGCCATATGGCACCCAGTTTATTCCACTTGGCGACACATGCCGAGCGGACATTAATTCGGCGCCACAGCGAGCCACTACGCGCCAATCACATAATCTTTGGCGCGAACTGGCACCAACTGGCGCCGGCCCAGTGGACTCCTAGCATTAGGTAGCATGTTATATCCAACATTCAAGGGTTCTAAAAAGTATTCCCATTCTGAATCGTACGTAAACATTGTCTAAAAAGAAATACTATACAAATTGAAGATACATACCGAAGTAATGTGTACGAAAAAAGTCTGATATGGCGATGGCTGAAACAAATGAAAGAGAGAGTAATAAATGATCAAATAAAAATTCATTCATAGGCCTATCACTTACATTATAGACGCTCTATAGTGCAAATGATGAAACCACATAAACGCGCTAACTCAAAGGTACAACATGATTAAGGATAGGGCATAACAAAGGGAAGATTACAGTTGATTGTAGTCCTAATTGAACAGATAGGTTTTAATATTCTTTGAGAATGCTTCTACGTATTACGGCAGAACCATTTATTTCACAATATTCCTGTTAGTTCACTAACCAGGTTTTCAAAAAAAACTTCGGTATCGGATAGTCAATGTATTATAGCACAATGATGGAAAAGCTGATGGGGTCGATAAATAGAATTCCTTTCCTTCTAAATTTTAACCTACTACGGTATCTCCTAAACGGTTTGCTTTAGAAACCATATATACATGTTGTTTAGAATTTAATTGTATATATATCCTTAACGAATCATTACAGTTGTTTTTTCCTTAATTAACCTTGAAACTTGAAACAAATTAAGAGAACTTTCATAAAAAAAGAAAAGAAAAGGAACAATATCGTGGTTATATTCAAAGGGAAAACAAATTTGAATATACAAATAAATAACTATATTCTTTCATAACTTTCAAAACAACTTAAGAAAATGAAAACTTGATTTGCCCATAAATACACCATGATTGGCTAAAAAAATAAAAGTTACAATATTGTTTTTTACAATATTATTGATATCATGCCCCTCATCTTTGTAGAACTAAAATATCCATGAAAATTGGTTCAAGTAGTGTTTATTGAGCAATTGGGAAGTAAAAGTTCACTATCTAAAAATCAGGTTATCCATTATGAGTATTTGTATACATCGAAATTATAAAAAGTACAAAAGCAAGTCTGTAATATAATATGATAGACCATTACAATCATAGCATTATTTTACAACTTCTATTCCACTTTGGACCGATATCCACGTATTTGACGATTTAACTGCACATGACCGGTTTACGTTACTATTACGTTTTAGTTGTGAAGAAGAATAGTCTAGGTGTGGTCAACAGGCGCGTACGCAGGGGGGGGGGGGTGGGGGGTTGAACCCCACCCCCCCCCCCCCTTGGTATTTGTTATGTGTGTATTTTGGAGGAAAACCCTTGCATTTTTGTTTTTTATTTAATTTAAAAAAAAAAAAATTATACCAATTGCTGACCTAAAAAAGTATCCTCTTACCCCCCCCCCCCCCGCTTATTCAGCGGCTGGCTGAGTCGTTGCGAAATTTTCGGCCCGATTAAAAATGTTAAATCCCCCCCCCCCCCCCCTTGAAAAAATCCCGCGCCTGGTGGTCAATATGTAATATGTTTACTGTAAAGAAAACGAAAATCTTCATCCTATTTATCAGTCAAGTTATAATATTTACATATATTCACTATTTTTTGCATGGAGATCCTTGTTTCTTATGGATAATAATAATTGAATTCATATACATATATTTACACGAATTAAATTAACATAATATGTCGGTGATTTGTTTGAATAAATAATGCGACCAAATAATGTATCTAGTTCTCTGTTTCCAAGTTACTTCCATGAAAGAGATATGCATTCAATTACAAAAGGACCTCGTATAAAATTAAATGTTTACATTGTCCGCTGAATCAATCGTAATTATCACAATGAAAGAAACAAGAGCATGATAAGCTTTTAGTCGTCTTGCTTCTATCAGAGCTTTAAAAATAATCAATAAGGAGTTACACATTCACATTCCGAAGATTACGTGACAAATCATTACGTATCGTTGCATGCACACGGACATCTCCAATCACGCATAATCATTCATTGAGAGACAGATAAACAACTTGATGATTATTATTATTGCTACAGGCAAAGTTTCTTCCCAAGAACACTCCGGGACTGGGATGAGCTCCCTACCAACTTCATTGAACTGCCCTCTGTGGAGAAGTTCAAGGGAGCCATCAGCGCCTAAATCATAGGAGGATCTGTTTTTACTCGCACAACTTGTATATACGCACTATGCACTAATCAATCATGACCACTATGAGAGACACCACACCACAATATCCTCGTTTAGTTGCTGAAAAGGCTTTTGACGAGTACCAGCATAGACGTAGACGTAGACGTAGAGGATATGTCTCATTATCTCGTAATGACATTCTTAAGAGTCTTGGTTGAAATAATCTAAATCAAAGTTCATACACAAGCATATTGGCAATATGGCGATAAGCAGTTTTGTTAACATAATATATCACAATAGAGAACATCATTACAAGATCATATTTTGATCAAATACAAACATACATGCATAATGTTAAAATAAAAGTTCGTCTTCATACCAGCAACCTTGCAACAACCTGACAGTATTTTATGATAAAATAAGTTCTCGATTAATAATATATCTCTCCTACATAACACCAGTACTGTGATAGCATACACACGTGCATAATATTATGCTACTAGAAAAAGTAGAGAAGATAATAATATATGTACTTACCAAATACGAAGCGAAAAGGGAACTGAAGAAAACGCGCGAATTCGGGGGTCCAGCAGTATGTTGATCGCTCCATTGTCCCTATTCATACAATTAAATCTATTATCATGATTTCAAAGACTTTCACATACTTGGCGTTTAAACATGTTAATCGTTTCTAAGCTGTGAGACTGAACTCGTATATATCAATTAACGACACTCTTCTCATAATGTGCATCGTCACCAGTCTCGTCCATAGTTTGGAAGAACTATTCTATGGTTGTTAACCATCGGAGCATGTGACGACGAGAAGAGAAGATGGGTGAATTCCCTGTTCATAACTAAGCCAAAGTCAGAGCATCTATTGATAGACAACCAGCTATTGTGTATTGTGCAAGGTTGAAAAAGTAGAACGGGTGAATGTCGTTCATAAGTATGAACATTGCATAATGAAAGAATGGAAGCGCTTTAATACGTTCCTTAATAAAAAAAAAACTTTAAATTCGAGCGAGCGTAGAGAGCGAGTTTTAGATGAAATTTGAGAAAAAATTGCTTTCAGCCGCTTTAAATTGGGGGCTCTGAGGCTCTGAGGAATCCATTGTTTTGGGGATGATGATGAATTATAAAAACATCTTTTCATAGCATTAACGGTTATTGTGTCTCTTAATGTTTTAATGTGAATGAGATTTGGCAATGTTAATGCTGTTGCCGTCGAACACACCTTCATTTGTTACCTTGCCATTCTGTGAAGTTCAAAGGTCATGGGGTTTAAGGTATAATAGGTTCAAATATGCTTCTTTTATAGCAGATGAGTAGATTAGCCTACCCAGGCGCGCTGGAAGCACTTTGGGATTGGGAGGTGGGGGGGGGGGGGCAAACATTACATTGGGCTCGCCTTTCAGAGGCAGTGGCGTAATGAGCAAAAGAGTTTGGGGGCAGAAAAATCTGTACCACCACTCTTACATATTAAATGCAGGCCCCGTGGCAGTGGAACGTTTTTAAAAGTAACGATCAGGAAGAGCATATATATTCGATGTTAGTGTCGTCAATCCCTGGCTGGGAGACGGTCACCTGTGAATGATGAACCTACCGGGCCCTGTCCCTTAAATTGTAGGTGAACGGAACGCCCAGTCAGATTTCTATTTTTTTTTAAAATTTGTATTGAATTGTAATTTAAATTTGTTTTTATTTGTATTGCTTAGTCGATGTTAGTGTTGTTAATTCCTGGCTGGAAGATGGTGATCAGTGAATGATGAACCTACCGGGCCCTGCCCCTTAAATTGTAGGTGAACGGCACGCCCAGTCAGATTTCTAATTTGTTTTAAATTTGTATTGCTTAGTCGATGTTAGTGTTGTTAATTCCTGGCTATTTTAGGCTAGGAGATGGTGACCTGTGAATGATTAACCTACCGGGCCCTAGTGAAAGGCACGCCCACTCAGATTTATATATTTTTTAATTATTTGTATAGCTTAGTCGATGATAGTGTTGTTAATCACTGGCTGTAAATAAAGAACTTACCGGGCCCTGCCCCTTGAACTGTAGGTGAACGGCATGCCCAGTCAGATTTTAAAAAATAATTATTTGTATTGCTTAGTCGATGTAGCCTTTATGTTGTTAATTCCTGGCTGAGAAAATCTGTATTCCGTTAGATCACAGTGATACCAACGGAATACAGATTTCCTACAATATTTACTTGTACATTTAGGAAGATATTATGCGAGGGAGCGTAGCAACCGAGCAAAAAGTTTTTTTCGCATTTGTATTAGTCTAAACGCTGCACTCTTAGGCCCTCCAGAGCCTAAAAGTGTGTTAAAGTCTTTAGTCAGTATTTGCTATACATTTTTAGGGCACTTTTCAATTTTCCGGTGGGGCGACGATCCCCCCTAAATCCCGCCCATACCCCCTAGGGAATAATTTGTTGGACATCAAATCTCTTTCACGTACACTCTCTCTCAAGGATAATTTTATGGAACAAAGGGTTGTCTTGGCAATTACTAAATCTATCTTAACGGATGTGGTCTAGGGGCCCGCATTAGGAGCCCTGATGGGTTGCCAGGGCAGAGCTTCCCATTTTTTTTAATTTTTTTTTTTTTTTTTTTTTTTGGGGGGGGGGGGTCCAGGGGTGAAACCCCCTTACGTTCTAGAGTTAAAAAAAAAATGAAAATCAAGATGGCCGTCACGAACGATAGAAATGGTAATTTCTCCTTGAAATTCACACGACCTCTATCATTTCATGTTGTTGAAATAAAATTTATTTCAAATTCATAGTACAAACTCAGTTGGCGGATCCAGGAATTTCTAACGGGGGGGGGGGGGGGGGCACAAAATCGCATGGGGTGAAATATATGTAAAACGGCGGAGCGACCAAGCAGGGGTGGGTCTGGGAAAACCACATTAGGCGCATTTTCAGGCACTTCCTGGAGTAATATGACGTTAAATTCCGCGCAAAGCGCAGAAGCTATGACGTTCATTTAATTATAAGAGAAAGAAGATGATTTCTTGTACCGTTCTCTACTCTTAATCCTTGTCTGAATTCAGTTTCACCCTTCCGTGCGATGCGCAAAAGCTTTGACGTTTCATTAAATTATTGCTCTCAATCCTTGTCTAAAATCAGTTTCTCCCCTCCCGCGCAAAGCAGCTTTTACGTTTCATTAAATTATTAGAGAGAAAAGAGACGATTCGTTGCACCGTTCTCTACTCTTAATCTTCGTCTGAATTTAGTTTTTCCCCTCCCGCGCGAAGCGCGGAAGCAGTGACGTTTCATTAAATTATTAGAGGAAGAAGACGATTTGTTGTACTGTTTTCGTTTCTTAATCCTTGTCTGTATTCAGTTTACCCCCTCCCGCCCGAAGCGTGGAAGCTTTGACGTTATATTGTCTGAATTCTCAAAAATGTTTCTTTGCCTGATAAAAAGTCACAGTTCGTAAGAAAAGAAAATTTGCCGGTGTGACCGCGTAGAATGTTACCCGCACCGATCGTCCGCCTATTAGAGATCGATCGAGAGCGGACGATCGGTGCGGATTTTATCCGCGCAGAATGTCCGTGTCGGACATTCCGTGCGCGCCTCAAATGTTCGACGGACAATCTGTGCGGAAGAGGTCTCGCACCAATAGTCCGACTGCCGCACCGAATGTCCGTACTCTAGTCCACACGTATACATATTCAATACAAGTATAAATATATGAAACGACTGGATAACCCATATTCAGCTTTGCCAGCTAGCTAGGGATGACACTACAGGTCTTCCCGGCGCGGATCAAGGGGGGGGGGGGGAGGGCCTTGACCCCCAACCGCCAACAAAAAATGAAGAGAGAGAGAGGGAGAAGGTAAAGCGGAGAGTAAGGGAAAGGAAGAAGAGGAAGAAGAAAAGAAAAGGGGGGGAACAAAGGAGATCGGGGGCGAAAGGCCTTCGCCACCCCCCCCCCCCTCAGCAAAAGAGAGAGAGAGAGAAGGAAGGAAAATAAGGGAAAGGGAAAGAAGAGACAAAGGGAAAGGAAAAAGAAGAAGAAAAAGGGGAAAGAAGAAGATCGGGGGGGGGGGGGCGAAAGGGCTTTGCCTCCCAGGCTGTTGCCCCCCCCCCCCCAGCAAAAAGAAAGAGAGAAGGAAGAGAAGGGAAAGAAAAAAGGGAAAAGACGAGATAAAGGGAAGAAAAGAAAAGAAGGAAGATATCAGTTGCAGTTTACCCGCCAACAAGTTGGAGATTGGGGGGGGGGGGCAAATGGCCCTTGTCCCCCCCCCCTTCTACAGCAAACTTAAAAGAGAGAGAAAAGAAGAGAAGGGGAAGGGTAAAAAAAGAAAGGTACGGAGATCAATTGTGATTTTTTCCCACCAACGCGGTGTGGATCGGGGGCGAAAGGCCTTCGCCTGCCCTCCCCTGGCCCTCAGCAAACAAAAAGAGAGAGAGAGAGAGAAAGAAGGAAAGAAGCGAAAGGGAAAGAAGAGAGAAGAGGAAAGGAAGAAGAAAAGAAAAAGGGGTCCGACAGGGCCTTGCCGCCCATGCTGTTGCCTCCCCCCCGCAAAACAAGAGAGAAGGAAGGAAAGGGAAAGAAACAAGAGAAGAAAAGAAAAGAAGGGATATCAGTTGCAATTTTCCTGCAAACAAGATGTGGATCGCGGAGAAAGGCCTTTCCCTCTGCCCCCCACCCTCCCCGACCACCCCCACCCCCTCCCCGCCCCCCCCCCCCAAAAAAAAAAAAGAGAGAAAGAATGGAAAGGGAAAGAGGAGAGCCAAAATGGAAAAAAAACAAAGAGGAAGAAGAAAAGAAAAGGGTGAAAAGAGGCAGAGATCAGTTGCGATTAATCCCACTAACATCGTGTGGATCGGGGGGAGGGGGCGAAAGGCCCCTGCCTCCCTCAGCAAACTTAAATGAGAGAGAGAGAGAGCGAAGTAAGGGAAGGGAAAGGGGGGGGGGGGAGAGGAAGAAGAAAGGTAGGGGAGATCAGTTGCAATTTGTCCCAATTTGTACCCCTACCCCCCCCCTCAGCAAAGAGAGAGAGAGAGAGAGAGAGAGAAGGAGAAGGGAGGTGAAAGGGAAAGAGGAGAGAAAGGGACAGGAAACAAAGATGAAGAAAAGAAAAGGAATTAAGGAAGATCAGTTGCGATTTCATTGGTTCTTCTATCATCATTGTACAACTATCATTGTACAAATGTATTTATAACATTTATTTATTCCTGTTTGATAACAAAAATATGAATATAAACTCACAACAGCAACAAAATTAAATGTAGAAGGAAACTATCTTGCTGGGAGCAAGAAGCGCAAAAATGATCATGCATTTGCATGAACATGTAAGTGTATCATTAATATCATTCATATTGTTTAATTACATCTTGTGAAATAGTATGCATTCAAGCTTTTGGGATTTTTTGTTGGTGTATTTGTATGAAATAAAGCATTTTGAGCTTGTAATGCACATGTTGCAATTTCAGGTGCAACTTAGCGTTCAAATATGGGTTACGCACGGCCAGGCATTAGTGTAGGAAATCTTCAAATGTTAATCAGGTATATGACTAAATAGTCCGGCAGCCACTGAGCTACACCTCGTTTTGTTGAAATAAGTTTTTTTCTTG